GAAATGTGAAGCAAGAGGTATCACAATACCAGACCTCAAATTATACAACAAAGATATAGTAACAAAAATAGCATGGTATTGGCACTAAAACAGGCATGAAGACCAATGGAATAAAATAGAAGACACAGAGACAAACCCACAAAATATAGTTATCTCATAGTAGACAAAGGTTCCAAAAACATACTTCGGAGGAAAGATAGTTTCTTTAGTAAATGATGCTGGGAAAATGGGAAATCCATATGTAGAAGAATGAAATTTGACCCCTCTTCTCTCACCCTGCACAAAACTCAACTCAAAGTGGATGAAATACCTAGTTTTTAGACCAGAAACCCTGCACCTGTTAAAAGAAAATGTAGGCCAAACATATCAGCTCAGAAACTCACTTACTTAGCAAACTTCCTAAAGTCCCAAGAAATAAAATAAAAAATCAATAAATGGAATGGCATCAAATTAAAAAGATTCTTCACATCAAAGGAATCAATCAAGAGCTTGAAGTGAGAACCTACAGAATGGAAGAAAATCTTTGCAACCTGCACGTCAGATAAGGCATTAATATCCAGAATATATAAAGAACTCAAAAAACTTAACATGGAAACAAATAATCCAATCAATAAATAGGAAAAGGAACTAAACAGATACTTCTCAAAAAAAGAAATATGACTGGTAAACAATATATGAAAAAAATGTTCAACATTTCTAGCAATTAGAGAAATGTAAATTAAAACTACACTGAGATTTCATTGCACTTGTCAGAATGGCAATGATCAAGAATATAAGTAATAATAAATGTGGGAAAGGATGTGGGAAAATAATACACTTAAACATTGTTTTGTGGGACTGCAAATTGGTGCAACCACTCTGGAAAGCAGTATGGAGATTCCTCAAAAAACTAGGAATGGAACCACTATTTTACCCAGTTATCCCACTCAGTGCATATCCAAAGGATTTAAAATTAGCATACTATAGTGACATAGCACATCAATGTTTATAGTAGCACAATTTACAATTTAGCTAAGCTATGGAGCCAATCTAGGTGCCATTCAATGGGTGAGTGATAAAGAAAATGTGGAATATATACACAGGAGAACATTACTCAGTCCATAAAGAAGAATGATTTTATGACATTCACCTGTAAATGGATGGACCTTGAGACTATCATGCTAAGTGAAATATGCCAATCCCTCAAAACCAAAGGTTGAATGTTTTCTCTGAGATACAGAAGTTAACCCATAACAAGGGGTGGCAGAGATTAGTTCAGTGGAGTAGACAAGGGGAAATGAAGGGTGGGGGTGGTGAGGAAAGGAAAGACAGTGGAATAAATCTGAGACAACTTTCCTATCTATATACATGAATATAACACAGTGAATCTCACCATCATGTATATCCATAAGAAATTAAAATTTTTAAAAATTGATTAATTAACTAATAAACTAAACATGGGAGAGGGGAAGGAGAAGTACTGGGGTCTGAATTAGAACAAGACATAGTCCATGCTTGTATAATTACGTCAAAATAGATTCTACTATCATGTATACCTAAAAAGAACTAATAAAAAAGAAGTGTAATTTAAAGATTCAGCATCCAGGCCCCCTCATAGCATCCTCACAACATATTTGAAAAGTGACATTTGTAATAAACTACTGAAATAATGGAAGATCAAAGTCAAAGTTATTTCTCCAGCAATATAGTTCTATCCCCTTGGTGCTTTGGTGCATGGCTTGGGCAGAAGCTAAAGTGTGGATTCACTGTGAATCATGGGAGCCCTCTGCCATGGATGCTATAGTGGACTGAAAGATGGAGAATTCCAATTATTTAAATATTAACATTCATAAAGAAAACAAGAACATCAGAAACTTGGCAACTTCTAGAAGGAAACAAAGGGGAAACAGTCCTGTGCTGGGCTGCTGTGAACCCCCATTTAGATAACGTCTTCACTCTGCCCATGTTCCCATATCGTACATTAGGTTACCCTGCTGTGTATAAGTCACCTTCATCCTTCTAGGGCAATGAAACTCAGCACAAAGCTGCACCTGCTACATGGCATCCTCCTTATCCCACTCAGATTGTAACCATGTGCCCAATGATCTCCCTAGTTTGGGTAGACATCTTATTCTGCCCTGAGCCCATTTCTGCTTATACATCCTTTTCACTATGGTCTCTGAAACCCTGACATACATGGCCCTGCTGTTCAAGCACTCTTCTCACCCCTGATTACACTCTGATACTCTATACTATCCCCTATGTGGATACATGCCTTGCATGATTCAAGAGCCAATGCTCTGTGATGGTGGACTCCCAACCCATGAGGATACACTGTGTCTCTCTCAGGCTTTGACTCTGGGTCACTCCTCCCTGCTATGTGGAAACCATCCTTACCCCACTTGGGATCTGATAACCTCAGTCTGGGCCAGAACCTCCTTCCCTTAGTTTTAGGGTTTCTGATAATACTGCCAAAAAGTCTCTAGAAAGGTCCTATCTTTCTTACACTGTCAAAAGATAAGGGAAATTAATCTGGGGATAAAAATTCAGGATTTAAAATCAGAAAAACTGATTTGGGGTTAGAACTTATAACTTGTGGATAATTTTGGTCAAATCAGTTAGTCTCTTTCACCTCTAGTACTAGAATGTGTAAAACATGAGCAGTAGCTAAGAGTTGTCTTGAGGTTTTAATAAAAAAGCATCTGGCTATTTGAGAACTGAAAAAAATTCCAGTTACTTTAAAAAAAAAAAATTCTTAGTTGTAGATGGACCAATACCTTTATTTTATTTATTTTTTTATGTGGTGCTAAGGATCAAACCCAGTGCCTCACAAATGCTAGGCAAACACTCTACCACTGATCTACAACCCCAGCCCCTCCAATTACTTTTAAATAAGATAACATGCAAAGTTCTATTTTCAGGGTTATTAATTAGCTGTGGCTCACTGGTATGGCAGAATATTGTAATTGTTAAGTATTGTGAATATCAATGATACCATTTCTTACTTTATGGTTTCTTACTTTATGGATATGAGGTGTCCCCAAAAAGTTCTTGTGTCAACTCAGGGATGTTTAGAGGTGAAACAATTACATTATGAAAGCTGTACTCTAATCAGTCCATCCTAATTTGAAGGAACTACTGTGCTGGTTGGTAACTCTGGGCTATGGGAAGTGGCTGGAGGAGGTATGTCACTAGAGCCACGCCCTGGAAGGGTTCACCTTCCCTGCAGCACTGCATAGTGCCTCCCTCACCTACACCGCCTGCTTCCTGGCCTCCATGTCCTGAGTGGCTTGCCTCTGCCATGCTCTTCCACCATGATGTTCTACCTCATCTTGGTCCCAGAAATATGGAGTAAGTCTACATGGACTGAAATCTTTGAAACTGAGCCCGTAATAAACTTTTCTTTCTCTAAGTTGTTCTTATTGGGTGTTTTGGTCACAGCAACAAAAAAACGAACACACCATTTCTTCCTACATTTCATATTCTACCTTTGCAAGTATTGCTATACACACCACACATTGTAATGAGTCCCTGTATCTGCTTCCATCATAATGTAAATCTAGTAATTTCATTCTTTTACCACCTAAAAATTTTGAACTACTTCTTTCAGAGTCTGTTTTAATGTCTTTAACCTTTATAGATTCTTCCAAGCACCCCTATGTTGCCACAAATCATTCACATTTCCTTCAAATTAATTTTTACATTCCATCACTGTTTTCCCAACCAGAAAATGTAAAAATAAGTGTTTGTTTTATGCTTTACTAGGATTAGACCTGTCTTGTCCATCTGTGTATTACCCAAGTCAAGCAGAGCATGATGAATAGAACACGACACCTTATACAAATATTTGTTGAATATTAGAATCAATCTTAAGAATTGTTATACATTTAATAACTATATTAATAATAAATAAGACTGTTGTATACGTACAATGTCATTGTCCAACATGATAGCCACTAGCCACTCCAATATGTCAAATAAGCCAAATCTGAACTGAAATATTCTACAGATACAAAATATACATCAGATTTCAGAACGTGAAGTACTTATTAAATTTTTTATATTGATTATATGTTGAAGTAATACTTTTGTAATATTAATATATTAATTGCACCCATAGCTTACTTTTTAAAGTAAGTCTTCCCACCTTCTAGCACTGGGGATTGAATCCAGGTGTGCTTTACCACTGAGCACTTTTTATTTTATTTTGAGACAGGGTCTCAGCAAGTTGTCCAGGGTAGCCCCAAACTTGCAATCCTCCTGCTTCAGTTTCCCAAACTGCTGAAATTACAGGCATATGCCACCATGCCCAGCTGATAAAGTCATAATTTCAAGTCCTATTTCTACTGGACAGTGATATTCTAGAAGTTCCTGGGTTAATGATGGTAAACCAAGTGGTCAAAAGCTTGAGCACTAGACATTGGCCTCCTTAGAGAAAGAATAGGAACTAAAAATCCTTGCATGATTCTAAAATTTTTACCAATTAGAGGGGTATGAGACCATTCACATGGATACCTTGGAGATATGAAAGAATGCAGGCATCTAAGAATAAGAATACATTGTTTTAGGGGCTGGGGTTATTGCTCAGCTGTAGAGCTCTTGCCTAGCACATGTGGGGTGCTGGGTTCTATCCTCAGCACCACATAAAAATAAAATAAAGGTTCTGTGTCCAACTACAACTAAAAGACAAACAAAAATTTTTTTAAAAAAGAATACCTTGTTTTGGTGAACTAATTATGTCTTTTAAAAATGTTTCTACACAACTCTAGAATGCTTCTTTAAAATTATAATGCCTGAAAAGAGGTAGTATAAAAAATGATACCAATTTCACTTGTTTTCTTTATAAACAACTCAACTATTCACTTCTTTACTTAGTCAATTTAGATTCTTTGACCTAAAGAAACTCCACTAGTTACAAATCCCATCTTTTAATTTTCCTTTATTTATGTGCTCTTTTCTCAAATCTGAAGTGTCTTTAGATTTAGAAAAATAAGCATTTAGTCAATTCTGTCATTACTAACCTGCATTTCATATTGCAGAGTCATGTGGAAACACCAGGATCCCATTCCTACCACTGAAATATAAACAAACAAACACAAATTAGCATAAAATTCTTTGGGAGTAACCAGAGTGACTTAAGACAATAAGACATTTTCCAGCATTGAGTTTTTTTTTAAAAAAAATTTTAATATTTATTTTTTAGTTTTAGGTGAACACAATATCTTTATTTTACATTTATGTGGTGCTGAGGATCAAATCCAGTGCCTCATGCATGGTAGGCAAGCACTCTTACCACTGAGCCACAATCCTAGCCCCAGCATTGAGTTTTAAGGAAAACAAAGTGTATAAAATCTTGTGGTAAGATATAGCTGACTCTGGATATGTTCAATAATTGAAATTTCATATAGAAGAAAATGAGTACAAATAAGTACTTTTAAATTCCCTCCACCATGTGATTTACTAGATTAACAACATCCCGTTATTCATAAATGGAATATTATAAAATGTGTTACTGGATGCTCAGGATAAGCTTTAATGTACACAAATAGTTTAGTACTCTTCAGTACTACTTTGCACTTCTGATCCAAACAGCTGAGCTGTATGCTTAGAGTAAGGGCCAGTCAATTATGCTTACTCCCAAACCTGCTAATGACGTGGTATTATCAGTAATACAAACTACAAAAAGAGAGCTTCTATTTCTAAAAGAACAATTTTTAAATGCTTAAAACACATTCTATAAAAGTGAGTTGCTAATAAAAATTTCCATTGAAGTGGGTATGTGTTAAATACCTAACAAAGATTGGGAAACAATGGTAATCATCTAAAAAGATACTGTATTCATGTCTCAAGTTCTCCCCAAGTTTCTCCACCTTAAGTAAATTATTATAAGTTAAATAAACTATTGTCTTATTAAACTTACTATCTATTAACAACTATTATCAAGTAAACTATTATCATGTTAAGAGTTTTTTAAATGTTGGATTTTTAACAAGAAAGACTAAGTAGAATTAAATTTTGTCCCATATTCAAAGGTCATACCCTATATCAAATAATAAGATTATACAACTAGGAGGTTTTCAAGATGGAGGAATAGAGGAGGTCACTTTTCTGTCTGCTCCATGGAGTGAAACTAAGAAAGCAGACAGGCAGCTTCTCAGCAAGGTGGGTGAACCAAAAAAAGAGTAGGGGAACTTTACTGGAATTTAAAACTGGACATTAAAAGAAGAACAGGGACTCAGGAGATTGATATAAAAATAAGGAAGAAATACCCAGAAGCAAAATCACTGCCGCAGGAAGCACCAGCCAGAGAAGTCCTTCTGTGAGCACAGTGGAAGGACAAGGGAATTAAAGGAACCCAAACTTCTAGGCACAAAGTGTTAAGAGATCAAAGACATTACCTGGCAAACCTGAAAGATGTGCTGCACAATATCTGCATGTGGGGAAAGAAGCTGCCATATCTCTAGGAGGCTTGTGGAGGACAAAGGAAGGAACTATTTCATAGCTGCTGCGTGGGGGCCAGCAGCTGATGGGGTTGATTCCTGGCAAACCAAGTTTGGATGGGGTTGATTTCTGGCAAACCGAGTTCGGCCTGAAATACAGGCCTGGTTAACACACAATGCATGACACAGAATGTGCTTAATTGACCAGGAGAAAATCAAACCTGGAAAGGTTTACACAGGGTTTAACTGGTTGTTGAAACCCACATGCCTCTACCCCTCCGCCTCTATTCTGACTGCTTGCAGAACCAGCTGGGAGAGATGCAACTGGCCTGGAACTCTGAAGGGCGGGGCAAGAGAGATTGTTTGAAGACCAAGACCAGGAAACATGGGGTCTGAAGGTGACGTAAGGGACTAAGAATTGGGTTTCCCACCACATGAATCCCTGGGGTACAGTCTTTCAGCATGGACCAGCAAGTACTGGTTGCTGGAGGTGCAGTGATTTAAAAATCTTCAGACCAATAGGCATTCAGCAAAGAGCCTGGAACCCATCCTAGCCTAAACCCTGCCTCAGAAATTCTGCCTAAGAGATTACCTCCCTTACTCCAGCAATCCAGAGGGTGGAGCATCACATTCCAGAAGATACCATCTAAAACTGCTGAGAAGAGAAGCTGAGAATATTTTGAACTCCAACAGAAAGTTCTTTAACTTTTCATCAAGATCTTTTTTTTTAATTATTCTTTTTCTGTTTAATTGTGACCTTAATGGTACATGGACATTTATACATATTCATATTTGTTTTTTTCTCATTTCTAGCATTTATGAAGCCAGCTATTTTTCATGGTTTAGGTTTTTTGTTGTTGTTTGTTTGTTTGTTTGTGTGTGAACTACGATGTTTGATTTTTATTTTAAAATTTTTTTTAAATTTTACTTTATATATATATATTTTTTTTTCTCCTGTTTCCCTTGATTCTCTCTTTTCTTCTGTTAACAGCCAATCTCTATTGTTCTGTCTTACACTCTTCCTTTAATCTTTTACTTATTTTTATCCTCTCCTCCCTCCTAATCATCAGCTTCTGTATCACTTCTATTCTCTCCCTGTCCACTATTTGAAATTATAAACCCTGTTGCAAACTTGCTGTTTTTTATTGTAGGTAATAACTGATCATATCATTTCTGTTTATTGTGATAATTAACATTGTAGATGTCATAGTAGGAACTATTTGGTTTAATATTGCATATTGTTTGCATTGGTTGCTGTTATTTGTCTCCCCTTAAATAGTGAGGTACTGAAAACCTTCAGGAACACTATAAATCCACAGGGTAGAAACTCTATTGCCTTAGATCCATACTGTTAGATGGGTAGATGCATAAACAACTTCAAAAAGCAAGGGAACAAACTGTCCCAAACAAACCAACATTCCAATAACAGAATCCATTGACACCACAAAAGAAGAAATGCCAGTGAAGGAGTTTAGAATGTACATAATTACACTGATCTGGGAGTAAAGGATTATAAGAAATGAAATGAGAGAGAAAATACAGGAAGTGAAAGATAACTTCAATAAAGAGGCAGAGATTCTGAAGAAAAAACAAAAACAAAAACAAAACCCAAGCAGAAATCCTCAAAATGAAGGAAACAATAAACCGAATTAAAAATTCAATAGAAAGCATCACCAACAGACTAGATCACTTGGAAGACAACTTCAGGCAATAAAGGCAAAATATATAATCTTGAAAATAGAGTTGACCATGGAGAGAATATGTTAAGAAACCAAGAACAGAAATTCCAAGAACTATGGAATAACATGAAAAGACCAAATTTAAAATTTATTGGGATAGATGAAGGTACAGAGGTACAAACCAAAGGAATGCACAAGCTTTTCAATAAAATAATATCAGAAATTTCCCCAAATCTCAAAAATGAAATGGAAAATCAAATACAAGAGCCTTAGAGGACACCAAATATACAAATTACAACAGACCCACACCAACACATATTATAATGAAAATGCCTACCATACAGAATAAAGACAGAATTTTAAAGACTGTAAGAGAAAAATATCAGATTACATATAGGGGGAAACCAATTTGTTTTTTTTTTTTTTAATTGGGGGAAACCAATTTGGATCTCAGCTTATTTCTCAACACAGACCCTTAAAGCTAGGAGGTCCTAGAATAACATATATCAAGCTTTTAAAGAAAATGAATGCAAACCAAGAATCCTATTATCCAGCAAAATGAAGCTTCATATTTGAAGATGAAATAGAAACCTTCCATGATAAACAAAAGTTAAAAGAATTTGCAACTAGAAAGCCTGCACTACAGAACAATCTCAACAAAATAGTACATGAAGATGAAATTTTTAAAAAAAGTGAAAACCAGCAAACAGAGGAACTACACTAAAGGAATAGTTGATCAAAGGAAAAACAAATTCAAATTAAAAACTAGAAATAAACCAAAATGACCAGGAATATAAATCATATCTCAATAATAACCTTGAGCATTAATGGCCTAAATTCATCAACCAAAAGACAAAGACTAGCAAAATGAATTAAAAAACAAGACCCAACAATAAGTGGCTCCAAAATACAGACCTCATAGGCAAAGACACCCAGACTGAAGGTGAAAGGATGGGAAAAAACATATTGCTCACATGGATCATGGAACAAGCAGGAGTTTCTATTCTCATATCAGATAAAGGGGATTTTAATTCAAAGTTAATCAGAAGGGACAAAGAAGACATTTCATACCTCTTAAGGGAATTTATACATTAACAAGACATAACAATGGTAAATATTTATGCCCCCCAAATTGAAACATCTACGTACATCAAACAAACCCTTCTCAAACTCAAGAATTAAATAGACCACAACACGATAATACTGGGTAACTTTAACATGCCTCTATCACCACTGGATAGATCCTCCAAACAAAAACTAAATAAAGAAGTTATAGAAGTAAAAATACAATTGATAATTTAGGCTTAACAGCATATATAGAATACTTCATCCATCAAAGACTGAATACACATTCTTCTCAACAGCATACAAATTCTTCTCCAATATAGACCAGGTTATGTAAATGATCACATATGTTGGTATACAATTGTAATATTACCATAATATATTTTTAGCATCTGTAAGATTATTTTGATAGCTCCCTTTCTATTGATACTAATTTTGTGTTCTTGCATTTTCTTGATTAAACTTGTTTATTTTTAACTAAATTTTAGCTCTATAATTTCTTCTCTATTTCATATATTTCTGCTCCTACTCTTATTTTTTCTTTTCTACTACATCATTTGAAAATAATTTGATTGTTATTCTAGCTTCTTTCTGATACAAGTACTTTAAGTTAAAAATGTTCATCTGCGTACTGTTTGATCCAAGAGATCCTGATATTTTAAGCTTTTATTATCACTTAGTTCAAAGTACTTTTTATTTACTTTTCTTGTGATTTCTTTCTTAACCACTGAGATATTTATAAGTGTACCATTTAATTTTGAAATAGTTGACATATGGGAGTGGGGTTATAATATATCTTAAGGTGATTGATTTCCAATGTAATAAATCATGGACAAAACAGTCTGCATGATTTAAAATTTTAAAAAGTAATAGAAATGCTTTTTATATTG